CTCCGTCAAGTAGGCATGATCAATTATGAACCTCATTTTCAGCCCCTCTCCCCTCTCTGGAGAAGGCTGGGGCGGGCTGAAAATTCCAAGCTTCTAATGATGGTTTGGCTTTTCTGGTGACCAGACCCCATCCCGGAGTCATCCAGGAGACCACCAGAGTCCTCTCGTTAGAACAAAAAGGTGCCGCTAGTGATCTTATCACTTAGGAATTTACAAGGGCTTTAGGAGCTCTGTGCCAGGAACTGGGGCAGAGACATAGCTATATCTATATCTATATGTCTATGTCTATATATCTATATCTATTCCATTATCTCAATTATCTCAGAGAGAGAGACACAGAGAAAGAGAATGAACACCTTCCCATAATTTCATCCTGGATGGGCCACCATTATTAATACTTTGCTGTATATACTTTCACATATTTTTAGACCTCTATAAAATTAATTTTTAATATAAAAAATTTTAAAACAATTTTCTGTAAATGTTTTTCAATTAATAATAGTTTTTCATGTCCTTAAATAAGCATCTACCTTTTCCTTTTTAATAGTTTATTTAGGAGCACCATACTTTATTTGGCCAACTTCCTATTAATGTACATTTATTTCCAGTATTGGGGTCTGTTCCAGAGGGGTCTGCTTTCTCATCTACAGGAAGGGTAGGGAAGTCCTAAAGTCTATCAAGGAAAACCATAAACCAATAGTTGGAAAACTGCTACCCCGAGGACACACCAGACCCCCCTCCAAATTCCCCCCACTCTCTGCAGTTGCTCCAGGACAGGGTAATCCAGAACTGCTAGAATAACCCTCCCCTTTAGTTCCCACCTGATGCTTCTGAGCACTGGATAACTGCAGCATGAGTTCTCAATATTCCCGCATTGGACCGGGGTATCTGATCACCCTCCTCCAGGTGAAGAATGTCATCTCATGTCCTCCCTAGCAAACTGCTGCTAGGCTATCCTTTGCCCAATTAACTCTCCTTCGATTTATCTGAGGATAAAATGGTTCGCTATGATTTCCTCTGGGTTTTTCAGAAGCATTTGCAGAGCCAGCCCAGTCCTCAAGAACTCAACTTCTCCCAACTGGTACAAAACAATCTTCTGTGTTTTCTACCTGAATACGGAGAGAGCCTATTGCTATCTAGTGTAAGTTAAGCCAACTCATACTCTCCTGAGGTTTCACGTTCCAAACTCTGAAACTAGTTTTGTGGGTTTCTCTCTCACTTACCTATCCAGAATTATTGCCCCTTTCGGTTATCACCACAAGTATATTTCATTCTTCTGTGATCTGCCAATGGATTACTGGGTATGTGTGGTAATGGGGGAAAGTCCCCAGGAAAATGTTCTGTTGGGGCAGGGAGCTTAGGTGTGCTGACAGAATGGGGAAACGGTGAAAGGGTATCAGGCAGCTCAGTGACTAGCATAGAGTAGGGCTGAGGTGCCAAGAACGGGATACAGAAACCTAGCATGAAAGTATCTGAAAAGTTCACTGGTGTTCCTATTTCAAGAATGCAAAACACTGGTATCTATTTCACGGCTTTAGCGAGCTGAGTACCCTGTTGTTGTTGTTTTTATCACATTCTCAATATAAGTCCTGGTGAGATATTAACCACTTGTTTTTTAATAGACTACTTTCTAGAGCAGTTTTATGTTCACAGCATAATTGAGAGGAAGGTACAGGATTTCCTATATACGTCCTGCCCCCACCCCCACCCCCCCCAACAAAGTCTCCTTTCCATTATTAACACCTGCCCCTGCCAGGGTGGTACCTTTGTTCCAATTGATGGACCTACACTGCTACATCATTATCACCCCAAGTCTACCGTTTACCTTAGGGTTCACTTTTGGTGTTGTACATTCTGTGGGTTTGGACGAATTTATAATGATATATATCCACTATTATAACATCAGGCAGAATAGATTCACTGCTCTAAAAAATTCTGTGCTCCACCTATTCATCCCCCCCTCTCCCCCTACCCCTTATTATTATTTTTTTTTTTTGTGGTACGCGGGCCTCTCACTGTTGTGGCCTCTCCCGTTGCGGAGCACAGGCTCCGGACGCGCAGGCTCAGCGGCCATGGCCCACGATCCCAGCCGCTCCTCGGCATGTGGGATTTTCCCGGACCGGGGCACGAACCCACGTCCCCTGCATCAGCAGGTGGACTCTCAACCACTGCGCCACCAGGGAAGCCCACCCTTACCCCTTTTAATTTATCATTTATTTTTAACAAAGATGACAGTATTTTTTAAAATTTTTTATTTATTTATTTTTGGCTACGTTGGGTCTTCGTTGCTGTGCGCGGGCTTTCTCTAGTTGCGGTGAGCAGGGGCTACTCTTTGTTGCGGTGCATGGGCTTCTCATTGCGGTGGCTTCTCTTCATTGTGGAGCAGGGGCTCTAGGTACACGGGCTTCAGTAACTGTAGCACGTGGACTCAGGAGTTGCGGCTCATGGGCTCTAGAGTGCAGGCTCAGTAGTTCTGGTGCATGGACTTAGCTGCTCCACGGCATTGGGATCTTCCTGGACCAAGGATCGAACCTGTGTCCCCTGCATTGGCAGGCTGTCTACTTTCACTTACTAATATGCATTTAAATTTCCTCCGTGTCTTTTCACGGTTAACAGCTCACTTCATCTTAATGCTGAGTAATATTCCATTGTATTAGAGTTATTCCATTATATCACAGTTTATGTGTTCATTCACCTACTGAAGGACATCTTGATTGCTTCCAAGATTTGGCAATTATGAACAAAGCTGCTGTAAACATCCATGTGCAAGTTTTTGGACATAAGTTTTCAACTCCTTTGAGTAAATACTAAGGAGCACAATTACTGGATGGTACGATAAGAATATGTTTTGTAAGAAACCACCAAACTGTCTTCCAAAGTGGCTGTACCATTTTGCATTCCCATTAGCAATGAATGAGAGTTCCCGTTGCTCCACATCCTCACCGGCATTTAGTATTGTCAGTGTTCTGGATTGTGGCCATTCTTTTTTTTTTTGGCCATTCTACTAGGTGTGTAGTAGTATCTCACTGTTGTTTTAACTTGCAGTTCCCTGATGATATATAATGTGGAGCATCTTTTCATATACTTAGTTGCCACCTGTATGAGGTGTCTGTTACGGTTGGTTCTATTTTCATGAAAAAAAACAAAAACAAACCACCTGTGTTCCAACTGTGAATGCTTTTTTTCTTAATACTTTTCTGTAGAGCTTAAATTTTTTACAGTGATATTTCATTTTTACGAGAAAAATAAAGCTAAAAGAAACAAAGTTTTAAACAAAATCCAGTGCTGGAAAGAGAAGGGACTGAGAATGAAAGCAGGTTTCTTGCCTTTGTCTATCCACCTCCCCCGCCGCCCCGCCCCCCTTAAGCCTTTAAGCAAACATGGCCTTCACACCTCTCCAAGAAAGAAGAGCCTGGCAAATGACACCACCACACCTTACCTATTTCTTTTACTTAGCACCATTTAATGTATCCAAAAAAGCTTTTTTTTAAGTCAAAATAGATAAGATCACAGTTTCTTAAAAGTAATACATTTAATACATTCTTAAGATTTCAAATGAGTACATACATGCTATAGGTTTTCAATCTTCCTTGGACAACACAAAAAACACAGTACTCAAATTGCAAGTTTTGACAGGAACATGAAATCTCATTTTGACACAAAGACAGGTTTAAAAAATAATAAAACCAACACTGAACTAATTGAGCACCAGCAGGCTTCCTTAAATCTCCCATCCTATCCCACTTTCGAAATCATATGGCTGCCTCTGTACCAGCATTTCTTCTTCCCTACCCAACAATTCGACAAAAAAATTAGATAAAAAATTACAGGTGTGTCACTGAATGTACCACAACAGGCTAAAGAAAAAAAAAAAGCCCATTTTACTTGCTGAATGTTGAAAGAGGAGAATAAGATTAGGTGGGAAAACTGTACGGCGTTTGATTCATTCGCTTCACTCTGATATCAGAGCATAGGAACTGTGCTCAAAGGGACTAATAAAGATGCCAAGAAATAGCCCAACGTTATTTATAAAAGGAAGGCTGCACTCATGTCTATGAAGAGCTTATAATACCATGGAAAAATATTTAAGTTATAAAGTTAAATGAGAAAGTAGAATACAAAACTTATACTCAGTATGATCTCAACTACGTAAAACCAAGCCAAAAAAAGGCTAAAAGTTCAAAATGTTAAGTTAGTGGTTGTATTTAAGTAGTGTACCTGATTGGATCTTTTCTCTTCCTTTACTTTTCTGTCTCTTCCAACACTTTCTCTACTGGAGAGTTTTGTTTTTAGTTTTTTGGTTTTTTTAACAATTAGCTACCAAAAAAGGAGGCCTGATAGAAGTATTGAATTTAATGAATTTAAGTCCAGCCTATCAGAAAGGATCTGTACATGTATAAAACTAGAAAACATTCCAGGCTACCCGCTGAATCCACAGTGTGTTAGCAGTAACTTCCAAGAGGCTGGAGGGCTTTGTCCTCTCCTCCAGGCAGGTGCAAAGTGTCACCAGATCCCGCCTGATGAAAAATTGCTGAATCGAACAAAAATGTCATGGATTTACAAAAAGGAACAGAAGTACCCACATTTGGCAAAAACCTATTTATAGTACAGGAGTAGCTCTTTTTTTTTTTTTTTTTTTTTTTTTTTTTT